TCGGAGTGAAGGGAAACCTTGAGAGTGGGCGGAAAGAAGGTTATCGCTTGGAGGGACAATGGGGCACAAGTATCGACTATCCACCAATGGACCCCAAACTCATCAACCCGGAGGCTCCAGTGACAATTCAACCCTTCGTGTCACAGTCTGTAACTTTGCCTACAGCCAAGTTGCATGTCCAGTACAAGGGCTGGTCAGGAATGTGGACTTTTGCAGTCTATGACAATTATCCCATCCCCATGCTGCTGGGGGAAGACTTGGCCAACCATGTGAAGCTAACCATGAGGGTGGGAATAGTCACCCGCAGCCAGGCTAAGCAAGCTTTCACCCCCATCCCTGTTCCTGAGCCGTCCACCCGGGGCCCGTCTGTGTTACCAGAGACCCAGACAGAGGTGGTGGAACCGGATCCCCTGCCAACGACTGCAACAGCTGTAGTGGATCCAATCCCAGAGACCCAGCCAAAGCCAGTCCCAGAACCGGAACTGGCAACATAACCAGCGCCAGAACCATTGCCAGCATTGAGTACAGCGTTTGCAAACACGTCTACAAGTCCAACGCCAGGGGGCACCAGCAAGCCTGAGCTGCCAGAAGCAGCAGATAACCCTACCCAAGAGGCTCAGCCGGAGCCTGAAATACAACATAGTGCACGAGCGGACAGCGGTTCACAGTCAACGGAAACAGCCCCAGCACCTGCATCACTTCCAGAGGGACCAAGCCCAAGTCCACAGTCCAAGCAGGAACTGATGTCTCCAGCATCAAGGGAACAATTCCAGGCCAAGCAGGAAGCAGATGACAGCCTTCAGAAAGCTTGGGCGGTGGCACGGAGCACCCCACCGCCTCTCAGCTCTTCTAACCGATCCCGGTTTGTTGTAGAACAAGGACTTTTATACAAGGAGACTCTTTCTGGTGGACACCAGGAAGACTGGCATCCTCTAAGACAGTTGGTAGTTCCCACTAAGTATCGGGTAAAGCTCTTGAGCTTAGCGCATGATCATCCCAGTGGCCATTCTGAGGTGAACAGAACCAAAGACCGGTTGGGGAAGTCCTTCAACTGGGAGGGAATGGGCAAGGATGTTGCTAGTTATGTCCGTCTTTTGAGGTGTGCCAACGAGTGGGAAAGCCCCAAGGCCAGGTCAAAGCCCCTCTCCAGCCACTACCCATAATTGAGGTCCCATTTCAGCAAGTAGCTGTGGATATTCTGGGTCCTTTCCCAAAGAAGACACCCAGAGGAAAGCAGTACATACTGACTTTGATGGATTTTGCTATCCGATGGCCGGAAGCAGTACACTTAAGCAACACCGGGGCTAAAAGTGTGTGCCAGGCATTAGCAGACATTTTTGCCAGGGTAGGTTGGCCCTCCGACATCCTTACAGATTCGGGAACTAATTTCCTGGCAGGCACCATGAAAAACATATGAGAAGTTCATGGGGTGAATCACTTGGTTGCCACCCCTTACCACCATCAAACCAATGGCCTGGTAGAGATGTTTAATAGAACTTTGGGGGCCATGATACATAAATTCGTAAATGAACACTCCAATGATTGGGACCTAGTATTGCAGCAGTTGCTTTTTGCCTACAGGGCTGTACCACATCCCCGTTTAGTGTTTTCACCATTTGAACTTGTGTATGGCCATGAGGTAAAGGGGCCATTACAGTTGGTGAAGCAGCAATGGGAGGGGTTTATGCCTTCTCCAGGAACTAACATTCTAGACTTTGTAAGCAACCTACAAAGCACCCTCCAACACTCTTTAGGCCTTGCTAAAGAAAAACTAAAGGATGCTCAGGAAGAGCAAAAGGTCTGGTATGATAAACATTCCAGAGAACGGTCCTTCGAAGTAGGAGACCAAGTCATGGTCTTAAAGGCGCTCCAGGCCCATAAAATGGAAGCGTCCTGGGAAGGACCATTCACGGTCCAGGAGCGCCTAGGAGCTGTTAACTATCTCATAGCCTCCCCCACCTCCAACATAAAGCCTAAGGTATACCATGTTAATTCTCTTAAGCCCTTTTATTCCAGAGAATTAAACGTTTGCCAGTTTATAGCCCAGGAAACAGATGACACGGAGTGGCCTGAAGGTGTCTACTACGAAGGAAAAAGTGATGGTGGCGTGGAAGAGGTGAACCTCTCCACGACCCTTGGACGTCTGCAGCAACAACAGATCAAGGAGCTGTGCACAAGCTTTGCACCAATTTTCTCAACCACTCCAGGATGGACCGAACTGGCATACCACTCCATTGACACAGATAATGCTCACCCAATTAGAATCCCACCCTACCGGTAATCACCTCATGCCCAAATTGCTATACAAAGGGAGATCCAGGACATGCTACAGATGGGTATAATCCGCCCCTCTAACAGTGCATGGGCATCTCCAGTGGTTTTAGTTCCCAAACCAGATGGGGAAATACGCTTTTGCGTGGACTACCGTAAGCTAAATGATGTAACTCGTCCTGACAACTATCCAATGCCATGCACAGATGAGCTATGGAAGAAATTGGGACATGCCCAATTCATCTCTACTTTAGACTTAACCAAAGGGTACTGGCAAGTACCACTAGATGAACCCGCTAAGGAAAGGTCAGCCTTCGTCACCCAGGAAGGGGTGAATGAATTCAATGTACTCCCTTTCGGGTTGCGAAATGCACCTGCCACCTTCCAAAGACTTGTAGATGGTCCTCTAGCGGGATTGGGAGAATCTGCAGTTGTCTACCTCGATGATGTGGCCATTTTTTCTGATTCATGGACAGAACACCTGGAGCACTTGGAAAAAGTCTTTGAGCGCATCAGGCAGGCAGGACTAACTGATAAGGCTAAAAAGTGTCAAATAGGCCACAACAGCGTGACTTACCTGGGGCACCACGTGGGTCAGGGAACTATAAATCCCCTACAGGCCAAAGTGGATGCTATCCAAAAGTGGCCGGTTCCAAAGTCAAAAAAACAGGTCCAATCCTTCTTAGGCTTGGCCGGATATTATAGGTGTACCACACTACACCAAATCGCTGCCCCGCTGACAGACCTAACCAGAAAGAAACAGCCAAATTCAGTTCAGTGGACTGGTGAGTGTCAAAAGGCCTTTAACCATCTTAAGGCGACACTCATGTCTGCCCCTGTGCTAAGGGCCCCAGACTTTGACAAACTGTTCCTAGTAACCACAGATGCGTCCGAGCGAGGCGTGGGAGCAGTTTTAATGCAGGAAGGACCGGATCAAGAATTCCATCCTGTCGCGTTTCTCAGCAAGAAACTGTCTGAGAGGGAAAGCCACTGGTCAATCAGCGAAAAGGAATGCTACGCCATTGTGTACGCGCTGGAAAAGCTACGCCCATATGTTTGGGGACAGCGTTTCCAACTACAAACAGACCATGCTGCGCTACAGTGGCTTCATACCGCCAAGGGGAATAACAAAAAACTTCTTCGGTGGAGTTTATCTTCCCAAGATTTTGATTTTAAAATACAACACATTTCAGGAGCTTCTAACAAAGTGGCTGATGCACTCTCCCGGGAAAGTTTCCCAGAGTCAACTGGTTAAAAATTGTTCTTAGAATGGAACATATTGTTAGTTTTTATATAATCAGTAGTATGTCTAAAGGTGCATGTGTCTTATTAACTCTGTTTTCTCCTAGAGCACCAGAAAGAAATCACAGCCAGTGTGGAACCGGCTGTCCAACACTATCTGTGACTTGGGGGGCGTGTCATAACTATAAAGGGAAGGGTAACAGCTCTCTTGTGTACAGTACTATAAAATCCCTCCTGGCCAAAGACTCCAAAATCCTTTTACCTGTAAAGGGTTAAGAAGCTCAGATAACCTGGCTTACACCGGACCCAAAGGACCAATGAGGGGACAAGATACTTTCAAATCTTGGGGAGGGGGAAGGCTTTTGTTTGTGCTCTTTGTTTTGGGGGTTGTTTGCTCTTGGGACTGAGAGGGACCAGACATCAATCCAGGCTCTCCAAATCTTTCTGAACAAGTCTCTCATATTTCAAACTTGTAAGTAAACAGCCAGGCAAGGCATGTTAGGTTTTATCTTTGTTTTCTCAACTTGTAAATGTACCTTTTACTAGGGTGTTACCTCTGTTTGCTGTAACTTTGAACCTAAGTCTAGAGGGGGATCCTCTGGGCTCTTTAAGTTTGATTACCCTGTAAAGTTATTTTCCATCCTGATTTTACAGAGATGATTTTTACCTTTTTCTTTAATTAAAAGCCTTCTTTTTAAGTACCTGATTAATTTTTCCTTGTGTTTAGATCCAAGGGGGTTGGATCTTGATCCACCAGGAGTTGGTGGGAGGAAGGAGGGGGGATGGTTAATTTCTCCTTGTTTTAAGATCCAAGGGGTTTGGATCTGTATTCACCAGGGAATTGGTGAAGAGTCTCTCAAGGCTACCCAGGGAAGGGAATTAGCATCAAGAGTGGTGGCAGCAGACCAGATCTAAGCTGGTAGTTAAGCTTAGAAGTTTTCATGCAGGCCCCCACATTTGTACCCTAAAGTTCAGAGTGGGGAAGCAGCCTTGACACTCACAGTAGCTGAGCTCCTGTGATCTCTGCTGGCAGTGGGGAAGGGCATATGTAAAGAGACTTATTGAGTTGAATATGGACCCAGAATATAGTTATTAGTCAGAAATAATTCTGGTCTATTTATTATATAGAAATATGCTAAAATTAAATTAGTAAAAAGTTTGGTTATGGATATTTTGGTTCCAAGGCCGATGCCAACCAATCATGGTATGAAACGGTGTTGCATTTTCCTCAGTAAAATCCTGACATTCTGTGTCAGAAACATCATATTCTTAAAATGCTATGCACATATCAGTAATTGCTAAGAGGTTGGAGACTAATTTTATGGAAAGCATACAGATAAGATGGCACCAAAAACCTCTATTTTTATTTTACATGCAAAGATACATCAGTGTAAATTGTTGCGGGCTCAGTATAAATTAATAATATAAAATGCCAAAAAACTAGGGTCCATCAATATTTATTAAGAAAAAATATTAATCACAGCATAATACATAAAGGAAGAGTCAATCATTGCCAGCCCATTCTGAAGACAACAGTGTAGCTGGTCAAATTTACTCATGACTGTGCACATCGCTCACCTATATTTATACCTGACTTGAAGATTGCTTATACAGTCTAGCACAGATACATCAGTATAATATACAATATTATTTCCTTACACTTAGATGCTAATATGCCTTATTCAGATAAACTAGTAGTTGATAATAAAAAAAAAGTTCATTCCTAATTAATAGCTCTGTTTGTGAGAGTTCAGTTTTGTGGATTCCAGTAAAGTTGCATCTGTTACATGGGGAGCCACCCCTGTAGCATTAGCAATGCATGTAATTATAATTTTATAGGCAATGATTTTCCACTTTGCCTGTCATCTGGCTGCATAGCATTCTCTTACTTTTGGTTCAGTTTGGTCAACAGTGCCATGATGCATCAGGAGTCTTTGGGATTAGTTTGGTCAACAAAACTGAGCATCACAGCCATTTTAAATTTAGTCCTCTTCTTTAATTGAAGAAATTCTCATTATTGTTTCTTTGTGGGAATTTTTAAAGAATGGATAAACATTTCCTAAGAATGAACAATCATTAAATGTGAACAACACAGACATATCAGTTACATTGAAAAAAGTCACCTTCCCCTCTTGGTAACTAAAATAAACTCCAATTTTCTTTGGCTTTTTCTGCACCATGACCCGGGTCCACGGATCTGTTTTTGCCCAGTAATCTCTCCCATTCAGACCCAAGGCCCAGAATCCATCTTTAGGGCACAGAGAAAGTTTTCCTTTTCTCTGTATTGATTTTCTGGCCACTCCCAGGTCCCAGTCAGTGCTGCTTGTGACATCCACCTCCCAGTAGTGCTTATCAGCGGAGAATCCTTCAGAGCCCAACACACAGACAGTTGAATCGAACCTCCCTGGGTTTGGTGGAACTTTCTGAGGTTGGGTTTCGTGTTTCAAACTCTTCTTATCCCCAGCAATGGAGAGGTTGGGATGGGCTGTGTCTGCATTAAGAGTGATGTCATCTGCAAAGATACATTGGGTTGTCAAAAGCATCGGTCTAATATCTGTCTGAACTGGGATAAGGGCCCCATACTGCATTCCCTTCTAGGTGGGAGTTTTACCTGATGGCGTGCTTAACAATTTTTTTGTTGTATTGAAATGTTTCGGATATATGAAAGTTGTGTGAGGTTCACACAAAACTGAAAGTGATTCTGAATTATGTGGTGGCATTCACAAGAAGGATATAGGCAAAAAAAGTTCAACATTTAGATGCCATTGGCATTCACAAAATGGTTGCCTGACTCTGTAGGTATCTAAATTCCCTAGTCATCTAGGTTTCCACGATTAAAGTGCCCAAGGTGCCTAAAGCAAGTCCTGACATTGCCTAGCAGCTTGACACCTAACTCATGCTCAGGCCCCAGCAGGATTCACAAAGTATTCCCCTGCCTAAAGTGCTTTGGTGGCCTAATCCAGTAGATGTGCTCAGATAAGGAGGTTGCCACCCTTATGTATGCTTAAAGTTTAGCCTTTGTTTAAGTAGTGCTGAACTGGGGCCTTGGGAAATACATTAATCTCCAAACAGACAATCATAGAATATCAGGGTTGGAAGGGACCTCAGGAGGTCATCTAGTCCAACCCCCTGCTCAAAGCAGTACCAGTCCCCAACTAAATCATCCCAGCCAGGGCTTTGTCAAGCCTGACCTTAAAAACCTCTAAGGAAGGAGATTCCACCACCTCCATAGGTAAACCATTCTAGTGCTTCACCACCCTCCTAGTGAAAAAGTTTTCCCTAATATCCAACCTAAACCTCCTCCACTGCAACTTGAGACCATTACTCCTTGTTCTGTCATCTGCTAACACTGAAAACAGTCTAAATCCATCCTCTTTGGAACCCCCTTTCAGGTAGTAGAAAGCAGCTATCAAATTCCCCCTCATTCTTCTCTTCTGTAGACTAAATAATCCCAGTTCCCTCAGCCTCTCCTCATAACTCATGTACTCCAGCCCGTAATCATTTTTGTTGCCCTCCGCTGAACTCTTTCCAATTTTTCCACATCATTCTTGTAGTGTGGTGTCAAACCCTGGACACAGTACTCCAGTTGAGGCCTCACCAATGCCGAATAGAGGGGAATGATCATGTCCCTTGATCTGTTGTCAATCAGATCATAGAGACAAAAATTATTGCACCTGTTACGTGGGATCTTTGAACTTCCCTATTGTCTTTATTATTGAACAATACATATTTTAATGGGATATTTTAGTAATGAAAATAATATTTTGTCTAGAGGCTAGATTGAGAATTAGGACTCATGAGTTCTAATCCCCTGTTTAACATGGGCTCATTGAGTGAGCTTGTTCAAATATCTTGAACAGTCTTTATAAATTGTGTACAGTTCCAACCTCAGTGAGGGATAGATCTGGCTGGATTAAGATTTGGAAAAAGTTTTAAATTATTAGAAGAAAATTGCAATAAAAATGCAAATTACTATCACTACTGGCATATGCTCATCTGCCATAAATCACCATGAATAGAGCTGTGTCTTTCATCATCCCCTTGATGATCATCACTCAACGTCATATTCATTTTTTCTATCATCACCATAATCAGCCACAATCACAAATAAGCTGCCAGAGCTAACTTCACCACTGTCTTCATCGGTATGAAATGCCATCATGATCCCACACATTTGACTCTGGCCACTAGTACCTACTTTCATCACTCCTGGGATCATTACTCGCCTTAGTGTGATTAATGGAATCACCATCACCATCACCTCATCTGTGTTTTTACCCTGCTTCAAATCCTGAGGCCCTGATTTAGCCTTTCCTCAATCCTTACCCAGATCTAACTCTCACTGAGGGCTGATTCTGATCTCACATCTGTGTAAATTAGGAGTGACTTCACATAGATCCATGAAGTTACACTGGTGTGAAATTGGTTTGAGGTCAGCATCAGATGTGTAAAAACTGAGCATGGCTCTCAGGATTTGTTCTCAGGATAACAGCATTTTCTGGCATGATTCTAGTTTAGTTGATGTATGCACACAATTATTTCTTAATGCTGGAAGAAATGTGTTTTCTGTTACCTGTTTTATTGCGAGCCTTTCTCCATTCTGAAATCAGAGGGAGAAACAACACACATTGAATTAAAAGAGGCCCATATTAAAGGTTTTCCTGACTCTGAAAATAGGATGTTAAAATATACACAGAATGCACACACAGACAGATCTGCACGAGGCCTTTTCTGAACTCCTCTGATTAGAAACCTGAGCAGGGTATTGGTCTGCCTAAGAACTGCTTTGTCTGTCCTGTACCTCAAGCCAATGCCTCATCTCATCATGTAACCCGCTCTTTTTGGGCCATGGTATGGTTTTAGTTTTTTCTTATATACCAAACTTGCTCACACCCATTATACACACCCCTTATGCACACCACCTGACATTCTGTTAACAACAATTCAGATCCCACTATTACTATTTATTTTGGTGGTTTTGGTGCTGATGTATACCACAAATGAGAGAGAAGCTAGGATTCAGGTCCACAAATGACTTAGGTGTTGAATGCTGTTCACTACAGGATAACAGGGTTAGGGACAGGGGTACTGTAAAATGGGACCCTACTCCACCATAAATTATCCTGGTGGGATGAGAAGCAGCCAATCTGTCACTGCCCCTGGCATGACCCAGAAGAACAGGCTGGGTGTGGTTCACTGCCTGTGGGAAGGGGTGGGACACTAGTAACTCCAGGGGACTTCCTTCCTGCTGATCTACTTAGCAAGGTTACACCAGCAGGGCCTTGCCTGCCAGATCCCCAGAACCCTTTGGGGTTGGATTTAAGGCTGCATGGAGTCTGGTACCTGTGCTGGGCTCTCTGATCGACTGGGCAACTGGGTCAATCAGACTGATTTGGAGTACTGGCTACTGGCCGTTGACCCTGATCAGAAACGCTTTGATTGGCCAGAAGCCCTATCAGTCCCAGGATCCCAACGCCTTTTTGGCCCCTCTCCTGTCATGGAGAGAGGCCAGTCTTACAAATCTAACCCATTTTGGTAAGGTGCCCACTGTCCCCTTACAGCAGCATCTAACTTTTAGGCAGCTAGCCACCCTGTGGGATTCACAAGGCCTGAGTTAAGTGTCAGGCTCCCTATTTACTGCATGGTATAGTTGTAATTAATAAATTAACCTATTATAAGAGAATAATATGTCTGATAAGTAACAGGTTAAAAATACCATCAGAAGACTCAACCACATCAGCCACACCATCAAGGGCTCATTCACCTGCACATCTACTAATGTTATATATGCCGTCATGTGCCAGCAATGCCCCTCTGCCATGTACATTCGCCAAACCGGACAGTCCCTCCGCAAAAGAATAAATGGACACAAATCGGACATCAGGAATGGTAACATACAAAAGCCAGTAAGTGAACATTTCAATCTCCCTGGTCATTCTATTACAGATTTAAAAAGTCACTATTATTGAACAAAAAAACTTCAGAAACAAACTTCAAAGAGAAACAGCAGAACTAAAATTCATTTGCAAATTTAACACCATTAATCTGGGCTTGAATAAGGACTGGGAGTGGCTGGCTCATTACAGAAGCAGCTTTTCCTCTCCTGGAATTGTCACCTCCTCATCTATTATTGGGAGTGGACTACATCCACCCTGATTGAATTGGCCCTGTCAACACTGGTTCTCCACTTGCAAAGTAACTCCCTTCTCTCCATGTGTCAATATATAATGCCTGCATCTGTAACTTTCACTCTATGCATCTGAAGAAGTGAGGTTTTTACCCACAAAAGCTTATGCCCAAATAAATCTGTTAGTCTTTAAGGTGCCACCAGTCTCCTTGTTGTTTTTGTAGATACAGACTAACACGGCTACCCCCTGATACTTGAAGTCAGGGTCAGAAGACTATACTGAGAGAGAGAGAGAGATGGGTTCTCACCTATTCATGAAGCTTGAATCAATTGGGGGTCCTAGGTGGTTGTGGTAGCTGAGGGTCTGAAGTGCTGGAGACAGCCCCCAACATGATCAGACAGGAGAAGATGAAGTCCCAATGGAACTTATGCAGAGTTTGGATCCAGGCATCAGAACACTTACTTGAGCATGGGTAGGATTTTTTGTAGAGAAACAACAACGGTTCAAGGGAGAACACTAGATTTGTTTATGTGTAAACAAGGGAGAATACCAAAGTTGTTTTGTTCAGGCTAGACCATGGGAGCTTATCATTCCTGGCTTTGGGTGGTGTTCCTTGGAGGGAGCTCACAATGCATTTAGGGAGCTTCACTATTTTGGATACCAATAAAGGATTTATTACTCAAATTGGTCTGATAATTATTGAGCTGGGGTGTGCAGGCGTGGGTTCATTAACATCTGGACCAGAGATACCCCATCATGAAGTACTTCCCTGCTTATTTGATCCCAGAGTTCTGTGTGGTTCTTGCCTTGGAATCTCTGTTCTCCATTCTGTATGCTAATGGAAATGCCGCCTTAGAATCATAGAATATCAGGGTTGGAAGGGACCTCAGGAGGTCATCTAGTCCAACCCCCTGCTCAATCTTTAATGCAAATGAGGCTAGGAGAGTTTCCTTAATCCTTTCATCCTTATCCCAGGTGTTTAGGTGTGTCTCCCACTGCCTTTTCATTGCTTTTTGTAAGTCTTTCTTCTGATCAGTTTTGGTTCAAGCAGAAGCTGGGGAGGGCAGGGAGGTCTTTGCTGAGTCAGACAGGCTGTATACTGTGCCCTGGTTCCCCAAGAACACAGAGCTGCTAACATAACCCTGCACATCCCTTGCTAGCTGCAACTCCAATTGTGCTTTGGCCTTCTTGATTACACCCCTGCACACTCGAGCAATGTTTTTTATACTCCCCCTTAGTCATCTGTCCAAGGTTCCACTTCTTGTAAGAAGAACAGGAGTACTTGTGGCACCTTAGAGACTAACAAATTTATTAGAGCATAAGCTTTTGTGGACTACAGCCCACTTCTTCGGATGCAAGTGGATACAGACTAACACAGCTGCTACTCTGAAACTTCTTGTAAGCTTCCTTTTTGTGTTTAAGCTCACTGAAGCTTTCTCCGTTAAGCTTACTGGCTTATGTATGTTACCATTCCTGATGTCCGATTTGTGTCCATTTATTCTTATGCGGAGGGACTGTCCAGTTTGGCCAATATGCCTGTGTATGGCTTCATGAGCCACAACATTAAGGGGTAGGCTCGGTCCCCAAGGATAACTATTGGCATTTCAACATCCCCAACGGTTATTTTCTGGTCCGGGAAGTAAGTCTCAATTTCTAACACACAATATCATGAAAAATTTAACACAATAGACATTTTATGCTAGCCTCCTACATACACTCAAAGGTAAAATGAACAGAAGAAAAGGCATGGGAATATTGAATGTGCATACTATACAGTGATTCTGAAAATCATTCCTTCAATTTTAGACTAGAGAGAAAATAAATACAAATATTCTAGGATGATGAATCAACTTGGTGGGAGAGAAAGTTATCACAGTTCTGTTAGGGGGTTAAAAAGAAATCTGCGGAGTAATTTGCTCTCCTTGGATTGAGCAAAGTTAATGAAATGAAGAAATACCTGTTTTCATTTAAACACATTATTCTGAAGGATACTAGAAGTTAAGAAATCAAAGAGAACTTACCAAGTTCATTCTCGAGTTGGTCTGAAAAGTACAGTGCGATTTCAATTAGAAAGTGGATGACCTGGTATTACCTTACCTCGCTGAAGGAGCTGTCTTCCCCGGTCATCAGCTGCCACATTTCTCATTCATCCCCGTTTTTTACATACCACGCCCAACACATCACACAAACTCAACAGTAACAGTTCAGAATTTTGCATTCCGTGACTAAACAAAGGCACTGTTCACTCATAAAATTGGAGACCCAGCCCACACCCCACTAACTCCTCTTTACAAATGCCCTTCTCCCATCCACCCATTATCACAGACAGTGTATTGACAATGGCTTGAACCCTCAGTCTGTCGAAGGAACTATTGTGATATCAACATTCTGTAGGTAATTTGTACTCCATTGGGTTAAAACTAAACTAAAAAAAATGAAGTCAACCTAATGTCCTGTTTTTCAAGCTTGCCTAAAACCAAAGATAAAAATTTGGTTTAAAAGAATACAAAGTCTTTCAATATGCAATATGTGCCATAGAATCCTAATTTAAAGCTATCTGTTCATGGGAGCCAGGCGGCATTGTGCTTAGATGGCTAGCCCAACCTGCTGCTTCTGCCACTCTGTCCACACTGCTATTTTTAGCACACTGACTTGTGACAGAAAATTAACTAGATGCATTAATCCCCTTCATTAATTTTTTGAAAGAAAAACTCTCAAACCAAAGAGGGACCCATCCAAATAAAGGTTGACTTTTTAAAGGGCAGTGAGATGAATACAGCAATGGTTTCAGCACATAACTTGCATCTGTGTGAGTGAAATTGTTCACAAAGCAAGTCCAACTTACTCAGTTTCTCCTGAAGATCACCTATGGGACAAGAAAAAAAAAGAGTCAAAGCAGTCATTATTCAAAATTCAGCTGAAAGTGACTAACACAACTTTTCTGTGGTGCATGAATATGGTTAGTGAGAAGCTAAAAACGAAGTTTAAAAAGATCAAAGCCCAAATTTATCATGATGTAACTTACTCTGTTGCAGAGAATTCTAACATTAAGGCCTGGAGTAGACTAGAAAATTAGTTCTGCATAACTACTTCACTCAGAGGTGTGAAAAATTCACTCCCCTAAGTGAAGCCATTATACCAACCTAACCCCTGGTGTAGACAGTTCTATGTTGATGGGAGGGCTTCTGACATAGCTACTGCCTCTTGTGGGCATGGAGAACTGATACTGAAGGAAGAGGCTCTCCTGTCAGCGTAGTAGTGTCTTCACTAAGAGCTGCAGCACTATAAGTGTAGACAAGCCCTCAACTACTGTCTCTTAGAGAGATGAGTGACCTATACCAATGGAAGAATCCCTGCCATTGGGAGCGGTGATGTACACAGTAATGCAGTACAATGTGGCCTCTGCAGTGACACAGCTGTGCCAGTGTAGCATTTTAAGTGTAGACATACCCTAAGTTAAGTGTTTGAAGCATGGCACCGAACAAAGTGCACCAAGGATTCTACCTGGGATGGCAAGGAGACATGGATACATATAATATCTTAATAATGAAAAGAATACCTAGAAAACCAAATGCATTTATCATTATATGATCTCAGTTGATGAGTAATTAAAGGACTAAAAAAGAGACAGGGAGAGAAAGAACTTGGCATACGGGGGGGAAGATAGAAGGGGAAAGTTGACAAAAACATTGGAATGTGAGAAAAGAGAAAAATGGCTTTGTTTTGGAAAAAAATGACAGAATTATAAAAACGAAGTAAAATGGAAAGGTCTATTCAAAGTTTCAGCTGAGCTCCCTTTTGCTGGTGCACAACTGGGACTTAAATTTTCAATAGAGGCCACTGATTGTCACTGTGTACATAAAGGCCTCTTGACTCCATAGAACCTGTTTCCTGTTTACTTTATTTGGAGTTGTGGGTGCTCAGCAGCTTTGAAAATCAGGCCCAAGGTCTCCTTAGTTGGAGATGCAAAATCAGCACAAAGTATAAAGAAGAATGTGATCCTTGGGCAGTATGAAACATTTCTGAGCTGAGAGGAGAGGGAGGCAAGGAGAAGACAAAGTTCAAGAAATAACATTTTTCCATTATAGAGCTATTTTGATTTTATGTATTTGTTTATATTTTTTATGAATTTTATTTTATTTCTTTGAAACTCCTAGACAATCCCATAAGTACTTAGAAAATTCTTGCAGTTTTTCTGAAAAAGAACATGAATATTTAAGCATTCACAAAACATTCCCTTGGAGACGTACAAATGGCTCCTGTGAAAATCAGTGGAGATGCATGCAGAGTCAATCAGAACAGAATTGTTCCTTACTTCAAAAATGGACAAAGTATGCAACTGCTGTTCTCAGCCAAAGATCCTGCTACATATACACAGAAGCCATCTGTAACCAAGGCCAGTGGTTATGGCACTCACCAGAATGTGGGAGACCTAGTTCCCACTCTCTTCCTAAACCTGAGCAGGGATTTGAACTAGGTTTTCCCACCTCAGTGCCCTAACCACTGGGCTGAAGGTTATAAGGGAAGTCCAGAGCTGTGTCTAAAGAACATCCAATGAAGCTAGTGGTGGGGGTGGGATGGTGGAATAATATAAGGTTCTGTTTACATCATATGCTACAATTCCAAGCTGGCTCAGCAGTGGGATGTTAGCATTGAATATAGCAGCCTGAAGGATGTTCTAAACTGTTCTGGGTTAACAACAGATCCTATGGATACTGCAGAAGGCAAGTAGTATGGATGCCAAAACATGTTTCCTTAATGATAGCTATCCCCTTGCACTGGACCAGAAGGAGGGTGATATAGGAGCATGTATAGTGGCTGTGCACCATACAAAGATTCCCCAATGCAAGGGCAATCCCCTAGTGCTCAGATTAATTTTCTGAGGGGCGGAGGAGTAATTTGCGTAGTGAGAGCAACGTGAAAAAGCGGCAGTGTGGCTGAGAATATGAAATAAAGCATTTGTTGAAATTCATAGAGAAATTCACAGTAGTGCACATTTACAATAGATAGAATTTTTATCTGCTCAAAACAATTTACCAAATTAACAATCCACACCATTTCATGAAAATAAATTTTATCATGAAAAAATAAACACCATAAATATCTTATGCTAGTCTCCTTCATACACTCAAAGGGAAAATGAATGGAAGAGAAAGCATGGTATTATTGAATGTCTTTACCGTAAGATGAGTACTTCATCATTGAGATGATCACTTCATAGGTTTTTTTCTCTCTCCTGCTGATGATAGCTCATCTCAATTGATTGGCCTCTTACAGTTGGTATGGCTACTCCCACCTTTTCATGTTCTCTGTATGTATAAATATCTTCTTTCTGTGTGTTCCATTCTATGCATCTGATGAAGTAGGCTGTAGCCTATGAAAGCTTATGCTCAAATAAATTTATTAGTCTCTAAGGTGCCACAGTTTCTCCTCCCTTGGTGTTCACACCTCAACTGCTAGCAGAACACCTCACCCTCCCTGATTGAACTAACCTCGTTATCTCCACACTGATATATACCTGCCTCTGGAGATTTCCATTACTTGCATCTGAAGAAGTGAGGTTCTTACCCACGAAAGCTTATGCTCCCAGTACTTCTGTTAGTCTCAAAGGTGCCACAGGACCCTCTGTTGCTTTTTAAGGTGCCACAAGTACTCCTGTTCTTTTTTGCGGATACAGACTAACACGGCTGCTACTCTGAAACCTGTCATTATGCAAGGCGCTGCATTTAGCCGTATCAAGTGGAAATCCATCAACTTCATGAAAAAACTCGTACAGATACAGACAGACATCATCTTCCTTTCCAAATGCAAACAGATGGACATCGTACCAAAAGGACTAAAGGTAAAAAACCCATTACAATCTACATATCACACAGACTGTGCTGAGAGACTGTGTCTCACACTCTCAAAGAAACTGCGAAACCATCTGATCAACATCCTATACAGCAAACAGGGAAAGATTAAGACTGAGCTCTCAAAACTGGATACTCTCATGAAAAACCAGCCTTCCACACAAACTTCTTCATGGATAGACTTTACAAAAATTAGACAAGCCATTTACAACACAAACTTTGTTTTGAAAAAAGAAAAAAGAAAAAAGACACTAAGCTGTCTAAACTGCTACATGTCACAAGGAGCCACAATAGTAGCTCCCTTAACTCACCCAACAATATTGTTAATCTTTCCAGCTATTCTCTTAGCCTGGCAGAAGAATCTGTCCTATCTCGTGGCCTCTCCTTTTGTCCCTCCAGGCCCACGAACATGATACAGTTCTGCAGTGAACTAGAATCCTACTTTTGCCGTCTCTGACTCAAAGAATACTTCCAACACACCTCTGAACAACATACTAACCCACAGAATCCTTACTACCAACACTACAAAAAGAAGGATTCTGCGTGGACTCCTCCTGAAGGTCGAAACAACAGACTGGACTTCTACATAGATTGCTTCCGTCGACGTGCGCGGGCTGAAATTATGGAAAAGCAGCATCACTTGCCCCATAACCTCAGCTATGCTGAACACAATGCTATCAACAGCCTCAGGAACAACTCTGACATCATAATCAAAAAAGCTGACAAAGGAGGTACTGTCATCATCAAGGATAAGTTGGAATATGAACTAGAGGCTGCTAGGCAGCTCTCTAACTCCACATTCTACAGGCCATTATCCTCTGATCCCACTGATGATTACCAAAAGAAACTACACTATCTGCTCAAGAAACTCCCTGAAAAAGCACAGGAACATATCTGTACAGAAACATGCTTAGAACCAGGGCCGGCTTTAGCAAGAGCGGGGCCCGATTCCTGGGGGCGGGGCTTGCTGCAAGCCCCGCCCCCAGGAA